CGGCAGACAATGAAGGCAACCCTCAAATTGAATCACCGTGGAAATAACTAACGTAGGCTCGGGAGTCACATGGTCGATTACTGCTGTTATCGACGTTGCTTATGCGACATTGGTTCGTGATAAATTAAGCTGTCTTTGCGGTAACTACTGCATTTACTAATCCTCAGATAAAAGAATCGATCTCAGTCGAAAATTTCGACAATTTGGGAGGGAACGCGTGTGTTCGCAATGTCACCAAAATTCAAAACAGCGAAATAAACCATACTGTTGTAAATTGAATTTGGACTGTGGTTGGAGGAAATAGCATTAGAAATAATTTTCATAAGGACTGGAAACAGGTATGCCAAATAGCATTAACACACGTGAAAACAGATATTTGGGAAAAACATTTTGCTTTCTGACGCACATGGAAATAATGACCACTAGAAAATATTGGTAAGGACACAAGTACTGAATGGTTAAAGCTGTCTTGAATCGCGGTGATTCACACTCGGTCGCTCCATTCGCCGACCCAATGGCCTTCAAGTCACAGCATCCTCTCAACCAAGGAGAACCTCTACTCATACCTCAGTAGTGCGATTGCTTATCCTGGTCTATCGTCACGTTATAACATTCACCTAGGTCTCGATATTGACACTATTTATGACCCCATACTGTTTCACATATCTGAGGTATAACTGTACACGCGCAGACGCCACACAAACGACACCAACTTGGTTGAGCTCTGAAGTAAACGGTTGTGTCCACGTACTCCCTGGCCTCCTTCATTATCGCGGGCAGCAGAGTAGCGCAATCTGGCCAAATTCAAATTAGTGGTCCCGGGGTGGTTTAAGACCACATACTAAGGTCCCCCGTACCGACAAAATAATAATAACATCTTTTGTGTTTCGACTTGTTTATACCTATTCAGGAGATTTAAAACTAGCATTTCCACAAATCCACAAAGAACATGTGCAAGTATAAGTAGCTCAGAGGAGAATATTGGCGCATGCCGAAGCGAGACAATTAAACAAGCAATATAAAAGTCAGGACGAGCTTACAGGAGTATACACCGATGGCGGAGCAGTGTCCACAGCCGAGTGGGCGCCTGGCGTGGGAGTTGATGAGGTCTGGGAGCTCTTCTGTCGAGGAACCACTGGTGGTCGTTTTGACTGGTCTTTCAACATCGCTCGGCGTATTGTGTTTAGGCCTACCCGAGTAAGAACCACTCCATCCATAAAGAAGTGCCTACAAACGATTTTAAGTCGACAATTAGTTAGCCTTAAGGCCTTCGTCGGAGATCACTGAACTGGAGGGAATCAATGGTGTAAGAATAGCGAATTCCTCTGTCACTGACTTAAGCCAAAGCGACCTCAATAAACCCAAAAAAGCTGCAAGTCCCAACAGCAGGCTTTTCAAATTGAAAGCCAC